GAGTGTTTTTTTTTCTTCGGCAACTACCGCATTAACAACCTCATATATTCGCTTTCGATATTGAGATTCGATATTCAGTATTTCAGCGAAACAAAAATGTTATCTCTCGCATTTAATATGAAAGTTACGTTAGTGTGTTCTTCGTAACTTTGGTGATACTCGGCGCAATATATAAAACATTCCAGAGAGATTTGTTGGAACGTAAACTGTTCTACGCAATACGGAATTGACATTTCGTCAGATCGGTGTAAGCTTAGAAGATATTTGCGTTTTTCGAGATTTGAAAGTCCCAAAGTTATTTCTCCCAGAGTTTGTGATAGACGAAATGAATATCATTTCCGTATTGTTTAAACTGTTAGGATGAGAATAGATTTTTTTTGCTTGTACTTTTATCAGATGACGTATTGTGCATTTAAAAAGCGTAATGGTGATTTATCTTAATTTTTTTCCTATTAGAAAGTACTGACGACAGTCTCGTGAGAAATTGTATAAATTTTTGTGCGTTTCGTACAAGCAACTTTGTACAAGCAATTCGCATTAATTATAAATACGCAATGGCAGCTCGAGTATTGTATATTCATAGGGAAGTACGTGTTGTTTTAGACGGATCAATTCAGTTCGAGTTGACGAACAATCACTATTTATAATCTAATTTTATGTACTTTACAAGATACGGACAGCTAGAAGTATTAGTTGTAATATTATGTACTTAGCCGAACTTTTTCCGCGATTACGTATTAATCTACAGTATTTCCGACATAATCTCTCTTCTTCTTATCGCTATCAGTGTAACTAGTCATTGTAATTGTATTTTGAAGTTGTACCATTGTCATTTTAATAGCGATACGATTCCATTTTCCTTCATCTCATAATGTGCTAAAATTAATGAATTAGACAAAATTCTTCATCGCATCAGTGCACTCGCCTTTTCAACACTCTTCTGTCTCCTAATCTTACCCTATTTTCTTTGCAATTTTAAAGATTTGTGTGGTGAAAGGAAGGAAAACGTTGCTGTGCCGCTATTAAAATAGTGCCTCTGCTCAATGATACGTTCATCGTCGTTCTGTTGCAATGCACAATTGGAGATGTACACGGTTAATACATTGACCCAGGTACTTCCACCCTGCCTCGATTATGCCAATCAAAGCGTATAATCGACAAATACGCTCACGAAAATGCGGAGGACATGTACAATTAGCATTTTCGACATTTAAACGTGAATTATATGTATCGTAGCGACGAACCGTGATTAGATAGTCGCGCTTTGCGCAGCTGTCACGCTTCTTTTGTACCTTATGAAAACAGTACGCCGTTGTATTGAGTAATCTATGAGCGTCTGTAGAAAGTATCCAAAGCGTGAGTCGCGTGCAAGTGAATACACAACATGCAGCTGCGCAAAACGCGAGGTGTATTCATTGTAGGATTGTTGTAGGACGAAGATCCTTCTAACGATCGTTGTACATATAGACAAAAAAAAAGTAAACGCTGAATCATTATTACTGTTTAAATAGCGACTATTCATACATTCCTTATACAGCCGACGCTGTGCTGTACGATATCCACGAGGCTTCTCCGAAAGATATTGATGACGAAAGTTGGATTTGCTTCGTGGATATTGCACCGATAACGAGTGTAAGCATTTCAATTCGCAATGTGGGGTACCGACTCAAAAGGAGGGCAATTTTCTGCCATCTTCTTTTGAATAATATAATTCAGGAGATATTAAGAAACATTCGTGTACCCCGTGCTGCGTGCTCTATGTGCCCTGAATGTACATACGGATCGCTGAGTAATGAATTAAAACCAGGGTTGGCAAAGATTTTTTTTTTTTAAGCATAAAACATTGTTTCTTAAACATGTTTTTAATATTTCAAATATACTTTAAACAGTATTATAAAAAAAAACATGCTTAAAACATATTAAAAACAATTAAATATGTTTTAAACTGTTTAAAACATATTTTTTACCAACCCTAATTAGAACGCGATGCACGTAATCTTAATTTATTAGCATTATGAGATGACGAGGAATGCTCGAATTTAGTTTGAATCTGTGAATTAATCAAAGTTACTTACACTCTTTACATCGCATTCGAAGCAATCAAAAACATCTCGTTTGTATCAACCTCACGTAGCGTATTACGGAGTCACGGATTCTTTTATCTTCTTCGTCGTGAAAGCCGCTTTTCGTTTACATTGTTTTTCCTGAATGACTATCATCAGTATTGTAAATGTACGCTGTGTGCGATGTACATGAAATGTGTTAGAAGAAAGAGAATTTTTTTGGTTTTCTCACTCATTGGAACTCATTTACTTAAGCGGACAATTTAGAAATAGTTAAATAGACCTTTAAATTTCGTATAAAAATGTATGCAATTTTAAATTTATTATTTTTTAGTTTGTCCGTTCATTAATTATACGATTTTTCTAACGTTTATTTTGAGCGTTGTGTTGCTTAGGTGATTATAACGAAGAATGAAAAAATCAGCCATCAATAGAAATCCTCTGATAAATAATTTTAAATACGATGGAGATGCATGAAATTTTTCTTAAATTGAAAAATGTGAATCCATCAAATTGACGTTCAATGATAAAACTTGCAATATTAATTGACTTTTCTCTTTTTAAATTTAATAACTTTTTCGAATTATATCGATAATCCGGCTTTTCTATACATTTATCTCTTTCTTACAACACATTTAATGGATATATCTCTACGCTGTGCGAAGGTATTTCTGTGGTGCTAATTACGTACTTAAATACGTTAAATAAGTGACACATAGAAATTCAAAATGCTTCCAAGGTAATCGAGAGAGAACGAGAGAAAGAATGAAAGAGAGAAAATGTTTGAAGTTAGTGAATGCTGATATTCGAGAATAATTGTTCATATATATATATATATATACATATATATATATATATA